GGGGAGGGATAAATTGGGAGTTTGAGATTAGCAGATACAAACTACTCTATATGGAATAGATAAACAACAATGTCCTACTGTGTAGCACAGGGAACTATATTCAATAGCTTGTAATAACCTATAATGAAAAAGAATATGTATAAAACTGAATCACTATGCTGTATATCAGAAACTAACACAACACTGTAAGTCAACTATACTTCAATTAAAAAAAAACAGTAAGAAATTCTAATGACTTATCAGCAAGCCAGGAGAAAATGGAACATCATTTAAATAAGGAAAAAATACCTATCAATCTAGAATTTATATCAAGTAAAAACACCATTCATATATGAAGATAAAACAAAAACATTTCCAGACAAAAGCTGAAAAAATTCATTACGAGTAGTAATACACTACAATTTTTTTTTAAAAGTTAACTTATTTGGGTGGAAGAGAAATGATCCCAAATACCAAACAGAACCTGGCTCATCAAGAAACAAGGAAGAACACCAAAAATGGTAACTATGTGGGTCTGATGTGTTTTTTTTTTCTAATACCACTAAGCAATTAACTCAGTTCTGACACTATTTACCGTAGTGTCAGATCCCAGATCCCACAGGTTAAGGGCTCAGTCCTAGAAGACTGCCCTCTCACTCTTCCTTTAGATGCTAGTCAAAAGTCCAGGTTGTTAACCTGTGCTTCTGAACCACCTAGCTATGGACTGAATATTCCCAGGACCCTGCCTTGGGTTTGCTTTTAATTTGCTCCAGTGGCTCACAGAACTCAAACCCTTTACTTACTAGATTACCAGTTTATTATAAAAGAAGATAACTCAAAGAACAGTCAAACGGAAGAGGTGTATAAGGTATGGGGAAAGGGTGAGGGGCTTCCACGCTCTCTGGGTACATCACTCTCTGGGCATCTCCACCTGTTCACCAACCTGGAAGCTCTCCGAACCTGGTCCTTTTGGGTTTTCAAGGAAGCTGCATTAGAGCGGCACGACTGATTAAATCATTGGTTATTGGTACCTGGACTCAAATCTCCAGCCCGTCCCCTCCCAGGAGGTAGGGGTGCAGTGGAGGAAGGGGTGGGAGTGGAGAATTAGGGCTGAAAGTTCCAACCCTCTAATCACATGGTTGATTCCTCTGGCAACCAACCCATCCTTAAGTTACCTAGAGGCTTTCCAAAAGATACCTCATTAACATAACAAAAGATACCTTTATCACTCTCATCACATAGAAAACTCCAAAAGAGCTCTGTGCTAGAAACAGGATGACGATCAAATATATACTTCTTATTGTGAATCAGTATCACAGATGGGTCGTATAAAGCCTTTCTCCTCCCTCATCTCTAAATTTCTTTTAAAAACAACTAAATGTTTAAAGCAAAAATATGAGTCCATCCTGGAGTTTATAAAATATGTAAAAGTAAAATGTGTGACAACAGTGGCACAAAGGATGGGAGCGGGGTCAGTGGAAATACAGCTGTAAGATCTTACATTGCATATCACGATATAATATTAATTCAAGGCAGACTCTAGTAGGGTAAGGATACAAATTGTGATTCTAAGAACAGCCATTAAAAAAAAATCTGCCGAAAAAGCATTTGATAAAATTCAATAGCCA